CACAAGCTCTACACAAGCTCTACACAAGCTCTACACAAGCTCTACACAAGCTCTACACAAGCTCTACACAAGCTCTACACAAGCTCTACACAAGCTCTACACAATCTCTACACAAGCTCTACACAAGCTCTACACAAGCTCTACACAATCTCTACACAATCTCTACACAAGCTCTACACAAGCTCTACACAAGCTCTACACAAGCTCTACACAAGCTCTACACAAGCTCTACACAAGCTCTACACAAGCTCTACACAAGCTCTACACAAGCTCTACACAAGCTCTACACAATCTCTACACAAGCTCTACACAAGCTCTACACAAGCTCTACACAATCTCTACACAATCTCTACACAATCTCTACACAAGCTCTTCACAAGCTCTACACAATCACAGGAAAATGATCCACCGTGATTCCGGTCGGATGATACTAGAGGTGTAATGGTGTACGTTTCTCACTATTAGGTTGGTTCTGGGTCATGATTTTTCTGGGTACACTTTTTTTTTTTTTATTAATGTATGGTTGTATCCTCAACATTGAGCACATACAAGGTTATACACACTTTTAACATAAAAACAGCACGTTTGAAAGCAGACAGGCTAAAGTCAACAAAAGCAAATGCAACAATTATTACCAGGCCAGAGGTAGAAAGATCACCTTCAATCATATTTCAGGCTATTTAAATCCATCATGTTGAACAGTGCGCATCTGAAGAGTCTCAGCTGGAGGAAATAATACATTATTTATCAGCTTTAATATATCGGCTAGAGATGCACCGATTACCATTTTCCATTTTTATAGAACTATATAAATGACTCCTGGTGGGGGAAATCCACACACATCTAAAGTGCAGTGTTATGGAAGAACCATTTCCTTCTTTTCACATCCAATATCCAACTATAAAAAAATTGATAAATTTAGCAAACTAAACTTTTGTATGAAAACAGGTTATGGCAATAAAATAATATATAGATAACAAATAAAAATAAAATAAATATAGCCTACCCTTGCAGTATATATTTCTCAACACACATACACACACACACACACACACACACAGGCCTATTGCAAACACTTGTACATCAATGGTAAGTTATATTTCTCAAATAGTTCTTCTCTCTGACACATGTCCAGCCAGGCTAAACAGGACAAGTGGAGCATGTGCAGGGAAACGATTGGGAATAAAAACAAGTTATTTTCTATAAATATTTTTGAGTCTTAATTTTCTTTCCTGACATAGCCTGGCTACTTCAGTTCTTGTTAAAACACACCAGACGTGCAAATTCTGTGCATTTTGGGCACTTTTGGAGTGAAATCATATTTATTTTGTCCATCAAAAGTGCTTTCACTTAAATTGAGCGCAGCAAAAATAGACTCGGCGCCGAAACCCGCGCTTCACTGTTGCTCACGCGCCGCTCCGGCTCGCGGTGTGAATGCACTCATTGATTAACATGCACGCCGAAGAAGAAAAAAAACCCTGCTGCTCACGCTTGCGGTGTGAAACGGTCGTAATTCACGAGGTTTCCTACATGTGTGTTCCGTGTGCACGTGTGATGCTGATGTTGCGGCGTTAATCATGCGGCGCCCGAGTGCATTTGACCGGCATAAAATCGGCACATGTCAGACTGACCGGCCGGTCGCCGATCATGGCCGATCACGTGAAAATCGGCCGATTCCGGACACCAGCCGATCAATCGGTGCATCTCTAATATCGGCCAGATTCTCTTATCGCCGATACCGATATGGTGGCCGATATATCGTGCATCCCTGAATATATATATATATATATATATACACATGTCTTGCTTTTATTTCAAAAAAACATATTTTAGTAAAAAACATTATTGTGCTCCATCTGGGCAGTCTCTAAGTCTTTTAGTTTAAACTGTGACATTAAGTCAAAATGTTTGCAAAATAGAAAAATATGCACTTTAATTTTCACAATATCTACATAATGTTGCAATCACTAGAAAAGAACGTAAGAGAGCCTTACATTCAAACGAATCTAGCGATTACAGGTGAAACTCGAAAAAATTATAATATCGTGCAAAAGTTAAGTAATTCAACTTAAAAAGTGAAACTAATATATTATATAGACTCATTACATGCAAAGTGAGATATTTCAAGCCTTTATTTGTTATAATTGTGATGATTATGGCTTACAGCTTATGAAAACCCCAAAGTCAAAATTAGAATATTGTGAAAAGGTTTTCATAAGCTGTAAGCCATAATCATCACAATTATAACAAATAAAGGCTTGAAATATCTCACTTTGCATGTAATGAGTCTATATAATATATTAGTTTCACTTTTTAAGTTGAATTACTTAACTTTTGCACGATATTATAATTTTTTCGAGTTTCACCTGTGTGTAATAAAAACATTGATAATGTAATTTCTTTCTCAAACGAACTGAAGCAAATCTTCACTCTTGCCTGTCAGAACTGCCCTCATCCAAGATGCAATACAATATACAAACTGAATATAATAATAATAATGGAATGGAAAATATATACAAATATAATAATAATAATGACAACATCCTGATTAAATACACAGCCATTGTGATCAGAAACAAAGACACATCTGATGCTGTGTGTGTGTGTGTGTGTGTGTGTGAGAATGGAGTGTGTGTTATAGTATATAGCAGCAATTGTTCGTCTGTAGGTGGTGGGCGGAGCTCTGTACACTCTTTCGATTGTGATGTCACACACCATCTGCTCTCTCGTCCAATCAGATCAACGACAGCAACATCAGTCCACGCTGCTAATCAAATCTCCAAATGTAAACTATCCAACCGCTCTAAACTGCTCAACTTGACTGCAGAGCATTAATGATACACATTAACATCATGATATTCCTCCGTAAAGCACTGGAATTGATTTGGCTCAATATCACGTGACAAACGGATGTAGGCGTCACATGATCATCAGGGATTAAAGTGAGAATGGCGGCCGACGTTAAGCTAATTACACAAGCATGTTTGGACAGATTAGAGTACACTATCAATACACACAGTAAAGTGAGTCACAGTGAAGCTACAGAGATAAAGACAAGATGTTGAAGAACATTGAGAATCATACAACATTGGACCCCATTTACTTTCATTTTATGGACTGAGACAATATCTTCTTCTGTAGGAGAAAATCACACCGGTTTGGAACGACGAGAGCAAGTAATTGATGATTTTTGGGTGGACTATCCCTTTAAACGTGGTAAAGTGTGTGTATACACTTGGCAGAGAACATGCAGAGCTCTTGAATGGCAGGAGATTCATGAACGTGAAGCGTTGCTCTGCTCAACGTGGGCTGAACTAATGAGGGCGACGAGGGACGCTTTTGTCTTTTCAGCA